AGTAATTCAAACTTCCAGACACATGGTGACTGCTGGTGACCCTAGAGGCCTCCACAGAGAAACACAGCAGTGGAGGGGAACAGTAGACATTAAGGACTATACTAGCTGGTGCTACTCTTCCTAGTATTCCAAGACTGAGATTGACTAAGGGTCATAGATTATACTGTGGCACAGAGCCAAAGAAAAAGGGGCCAGGCAAAATAGCAGCAACTTCTCATCCTCAACAAATCGAAGATGTAGGATTTTGTAACAGACTCAAAATTCTAAAACCTGGAAGATGCCACAAAGAAGTAGTTATTTCCTAAAGGTTCTAAATACTAGCAATAAAGCAACCCACAATAGGCAATTTACAAATATCACCCCAGGAATTACACTAAAAAATAAAAAAAAAAAATGAGATGACACTTAAACAAGATGCAACTCCAGACATCCAGTTCACAAAAGGCAAGCCCAGGGGGCAATGAGGAGGGACCCACCTCACCTCTCTAAAGTAGGAACAACAAAGCAATTGAATGAGGTGCTAGAAAAAATAAAATCAGAAATAAATTCTCAGAAAACTGCACAAATGGTGTGCACGGTGAAAACCATGCTTAGTGACTCTAGAGCAGATAAAAAATGGAGGAGCTAAAGAAAATTATGGAAGCCATGAATGTCAAGCATAGGAAAGAAAAGAAGTCCATAAGGCAAATTCAAGCAGATATCCAGGAGAACAAAAATTCCATTGAAAGTATCCACAGCAGATCAAGCCAACGTGAGGCCAGGATTGCAGATATAGAAACAAGCTTACAGTTAATGATCATGAAAAGAAAGATTTCTTAAAAATAGCAAGAGACCACAAAAAATCAATCCAGCAGCTGCTAGATAAGGCACAAAAGAATAAATAAGATTGACTGGAGTCAATGAAAAAGTTGGAGATAGCACAAATGGTATTAAAAAAAGCTGTTCATAAATGTCATGAAGAAAACTTCCTATAAGAATTTGGCATAAGTAAGTGAAGCATATAGAACTCCAATTAGCCATGATCAAAAAAATCTACAGCCAGGCATATCACAATTAAGATTCCAGAAATTCAACACAAGAATAGGATATTAAAAGCTGTTAGAGAAGGATCAAAAAATCAACCAATAATACTGGAGGGACTGCGAGGGGAAAAAAGAACCATTCTCCACTGTTGTTGGGAGTGTAGACTGTTACAACCACTGTGAAAAATCAGTGTGGAGATTCCTTAAAAAAAAAAAAAAAAAAAAAAAAAAAAACTAGAAAAGAGAACTTTTTTTCCTAAAAAAAAACTAGAGGTCCTATTCCACCCAGCTATTCCTCTTTCACATATCTCCCAAAAGAATTGAAAAAATCATACCACAGTGATACATGTGCATCCAGTTTATAGCAGCACAATTCGTAATAACTAAATTTTGAAAACAACCCAATGCCCGTCAAATGAGGAATGGATAAAAACATGTGGTTTTTTTATACAATGGAGTACTACTCATCCACAAAGAAGGAGAGATTTGAGACTTTATAGGTAAATGGATGCATCTTGAGATCATACTAAGTGAAATAAAACAGACCCACATGTGTAAAACATCATATTGTCTCATAGTGTGAGAAACTGAATAAGTAAATAATATCCAAAATGTAAAATAGATATTGTGAATTTAGAAGAAACTCTTCAAAATGAAAGAGAAACTATAATAAAAGAAAAGAGAAAGAAAGGAAAGGAAAAGGAAAATAATATACATATATATAAGATATGCATATGAGATTATGATAGTTATACCAGTAGTTTCTCTTAGTTTGCTGGAAAGAAAGGTTCATGTTAATACTGTTTGGACAATATTTCACGCCTATATTTTACACTCTGAGTAACTACTTTGAAGATAGCAATACACAATGTACTAATTATTATTACTTTCCTATTATCTTGTTTTGAAATTTTGTTTTTTTCTCTTTAAAGTAAAAAAAAGGAAAGAAATAGACATCTCTCCAAACAAGATATGCCAATGAATAGCAAACATACAAAAATATGCTCAATATTAGTAGTCATTAAGGAAATTAAAATCAAAGCCACGATGTCATGCTACTTCAATCTCCCATAATAAATATAATAACAAAAAAAGTGTTGGCAAGTATGTGAAAAAAATAGGAGCCCTCATATATTGCTAATGCGCTGTAAAGTGGTACAACCACAGTGACAATTGGTTTGGCAATTCCTCAAAAAGTTAAACACTGAATTACCCTGTAGGCTGAAATTCCACTCCTTGATATATACCCAAGAGAAATTAAAAACATTTTGTTCACATGGAAATTTTTGCATAAATGTTTATTACATTAGTCAAAATAACCAAAAGGTAGAAATAATCCAAATGTTCATTCACAGGTGAATGTAAAGACTATGCTTGAAATACAAAATAGTTATACAAAGAAATAGATACCAATATACAGTATAGTTTAGATGGGGATCAAAAATATCATTCTAGGTGAAAAGAGCTAGACAAAACAGGCCTCAGATGATTCTATTTTTATACACAATTCAGAATATGCAAATTCAAAGAGGCAAAAGATTAGCAGTGCAGATTGGAGGACCATGATGTAAAGGGAAAATGGGGAGTGATTATCTAATATTTATACAATGTTCTAAGGCACTCGAAAAATTTTGAAATTCCAGGTGCACATTCTGACTGTGCTAAATGCTACTGAACTATATGCTTTAAAATAGCTACACATATATTATGTTAACTTCACTGCAGGTGTTAAAAATGAACTATTATTCTGTTTTTAAGATAAATCCCTTTTTAAATTTAAAATGCAAATATTACATGAAAAAAGTATTAAATCATACTTTAAGACATTAAAACTAATTAACAATGAGTGATGAAAATCAGGTGGTTTTCATTGTTTTCCCTTTGCTTTTGTTGCTGTTTTAAAAATTTGCAACTTTAGAAATTAATTGCATGTTGGGGGCTGGGGATTTAGCTCAGTGGCAAAAGCACCTGCCTGGCAAACGCAAGGTTGTGAGTTCGGTTCCCGGTACCGGAGAAAAACAAAACAAAAAAAAAAGGAAATTAATTGCATGTTAATTATTTTAATAAAACTAGGAAACAAGTACTATGGTGATAGTGACTGGGTTTTTAATGTGTGGCTAAAACACTTAACTTCTACGGTTAAGTAAGAATGGATAGAATAAAAGTAAATTGTATTGAATTGTATATACAGCACTGTGGTAAGTATATAATATGCTCGCTACTTGAGTTTCATGCTCTATATGGGAGACTATGGAAATCAGTACAGTGATTCCTCAAAAAACTAAAAGTAGGAATTCCATTCAACCCAATTGTTTCCCTTCTAGGTCTTTTGATGAAAAATTTAAAGACGTGTTATTACAGTGATACATGCATACCATTATTACAGAAGCACAATTCATAACAGCTACATCTTGGCAGCAACCTACATGTCCATCAATAGATGCATGAAGAAAATGTGGTATTTGTATGCAATGGAGGATTACTCTCCCATAAAGAAGGATAAACAGGAGTCATTTGTAGAAAATGCACTTTAAGACCATAATATTATGTGAAATAAATTATTCACAAAAGCTTAAATATCACATAGTTTCTCTTATGTAAGCAACCTAAGGTATAAATAAATTAAAGAAACAAATAAAAGATAAGTAATAGGAAACAGACAGATAGATCTTTCTCATATAGGAAGAGGACAAAGAGATGGAAGGAAGGGAAAGAGAAGGGACAGGAAGAGGTTTAAAAATAAATAAGATGTGCTAGGTACCAATTCCCCACAATAAATGTAATCATTATGTAGTACAAACATGTACTAATAAATTTTTATATCTGTGGGAGATAGACAAATAAAAGCTATTTTTCCTTTCTACTCTTTCAGATTTCTTAATGATTATATATCATGTCTATAATCCAAAAGACTTTATTATTAAATTATTTACTATTTTGGAGATTAAATTAACAACAAGCAGAGATTTGATAAATGTTGATGGTTCTCTATTAACAAGGAAGATACTGACACTGAAAGTTTATCTTCTCAAATATAATATTCATCAGGAAAAAAAATGGCAAATAAAGAAACATAAAGAAGAAGCTTAAATCACCCAAATCCAACTATGTAGAGATACAGTTGTCCATCAAGCAACATGGTTTCAGAGAATTCAGTCCCTGGCTGGCTCCAAGGCAGAAACACTAAGGCAGAGGGTTGGATGGAGTAAAGCAATTCAATTGGTATAGCACAGGAAGCAGAGCACAGAAGAAGAGCCCTAAAGACAAGGGATCAGTGCTCAGATAGACACCCCAAACACCTCCATCCTTAGTTCAGGCGGTCCTACTGGGATCCACAACAGCTTACCCAAAGAAGTAGAGTAACCTATGTCAGTTCTTGGATTGAATTTCTAGGGCCCACAGCAACTTGCTAATTTAGGCCAATAAATGTCAAATGCAGAAATTTTTTTTCAAAATATTGAGAAGCGAGGTGGACTCCATCACACTGAATATTCATAATTAAATAAGAGCTGTTTCAGATTTCCTTGGAAGGAGGCTACAATGATATGAGTCATCAGGTAAGTTTAGTATATGGTAGCCATGCTCTGTTATTGCTTAGTATATCACTTCACCATGCCCTTCCTGAAACTGGGTTACAGGCATGCTGTCTCCTTCACCAGATGGTCAGCTCCCTCAGTAACATGCTTGCTCCTAGCAGAAGAGATGGGCCTAATGCTTATTTGCTATAAGAACTATCCTGGTGGACTGAGAAGCCTGACACTGATAATTCTGTCACTTGGAACACAGGTTTCTGAGGATGTACTGGCCAGCACCACATCCTACACTCCCCACCTTACACTCTTGGGTTTGTCCTATGGGCTGGAACGGGTGGTTTGCTCTGAATCAGCAGCTGTGGTCACAGTATGATTCTCACACAACCACATAGATGTCATCAGGTGAGGGTGTTGGGAGTAGGGCCCTTTCTTAGAGAGCCTCCCATGATGAAGCACCACAAAACCAGTGGAAAACATAACATCACTGACACGACTCCTCCCGCTTCCTCTGCTAGGGGTTAAAGACAGCAAGCACAAAGACTCAGAAGCTTGGACCTGGGAAGCCTTCTTGGGAGGATGCAGCTGCTCATGCTCCTGTTGACCTTCTTTCTGCCCCTAAGGACAAGGGCAGGTAAGTGACCATCTCCATCCCCCAGAAGCCCAAAGACATTCCACAGAGGACATGGGTCACCTGTCCCTCTACAGACTCCTGATCTATCTCTCTACCAGTATTGCTGTGAACCTGATCTCCAGTCCCACCAGAGAACACCAAGTAAGACACTAGATAAGCTAGCAGAGACTGTTCTCAAGAAGAGCCAGTGGGAGCTCTCCCCTCATTAGGCCATACATTTGTCATCTAGAAAGTGGGTGTTTCCTCAAAGTACATGCAAATGGTTTGAAGTAACAAGGAGAAAATATTAAATTAACCTGGAGAGGGCAAAATAGGACTGTCTTCCCTGTCTAGGTGGAGAAAGATGTTGCTTTCATCAGCTACTTAGTTAGCAGAGATGCCCAGAGCTTTATGAGCCCAGAATCCATGGAATCACTGTCCTCAGAGCACTGTGTTTGCCTTTCTGCAGTCCTAGTCCCTTTGTCCAACTCCACTTTCCTCCCTAACACTTTACTGGCCTCCCTGTAAAGGAGACTTTACTGCTTTCCTGTAAGACCCTTGGAGGAGGGCTCTACCTTCTCTGCTTTCAGAATCCCATCAGCGCTGCCCTACCAACCTTCATCCATAGACTACCTGAAGCTGCTCCTGCACGCAGCCAGTGCAAGTTCTGAGGCACCCACTACATGCCAGACCTAGGAAAGAGGATCCGACAACATCTGGAGTACATCTGAAGCCCTGCCATTAGGAAGCCTCACCATCCTAGACATCACAGGACTCAGAGGGTTTTAGCTACTCAAGGGAAATGAAAAGTCAGCAGAGAAATTATGAAAAACCTCTTAGACTTTATTGACCCCAGATGGGTATGCTCATCTCCAACTACATGGAGAACAAAGATTTCTAGACCAAGACCTGATTTCCCTCCCTATGCAAAGGAAGTTCAGGCTCCTCCCTCCAGCTTCCTCCCAACTCCAGGCAACCTCAGGCTGCCAAATGCCCAGCAGTTCTGCAGCCTCCAAGGAGATACTCATTCAGTGACTCAATGACTGCCCACAAACAATCTTGTTTTTTTCAGAGGAGATCATCGGGGGACACGAAGTGAAACCCCACTCCCGCCCCTACATGGCCTACCTTCAGATCCAGTGTAATAATTCCCCGACGAAGTGTGGTGGCTTCCTGATACATGAGAAGTTTGTGCTGACAGCTGCTCACTGTGCAGGGAGGTGAGGAACAAAAAGCAGCCCACAGTCTCTGGGAAGCACTTCCAGAGACCCTCCCTCCCAAGGAACTCCCTGAGGTCCTGGAGACAACATGCAGGTGACTCTGAGGGTGAGAAAGGGGTAGCCATGTCTCATGGGGAGACAAGGAAGTTAGGACCGAAGTAATTACTGACATAAGAAGGACCAGGGCAATCAAGCCTGATGTATTTAGACCCAGGACCATGCTTCTCTTCACAATGCAAAGTAAAGCAATTTCATGTGTTTTCCTGAAGGTAACTGACCCCTGAGAACTTCTGGTGCCCAAGGTTCAAGATTTCAGCCTCAGTTATTGAAAAGCAGAGGGCTCAGTCACTCAGCCAGGTGTCATTCATGTCATCTCCAGCTGCACCTTGTACTGGCTGTAGCCTGCTCTTAGAGCTCTTGAGGTGTGTCCTCTGTGGCTCAACATCCCTCAACCCACTCTTCTCTCTGTGCAGCTCAATAAATGTCACCCTGGGGGCCCACAACATCCAGCAACAGGAGAAGACACAGCAGGTTATCCGTGTGAGAAAAGCCCTCCCCCACCCAGAATACAATCCTAAAATCTTCACCAACGATATCATGCTGCTGCAGGTGAGGCACAGCTCTTTCTGCTCTTGCTCTCCTCATGCAGGGTTGCCCCTCCCACTGGGACCTTGTACCTTCCCTCTCTGCAACCAAGTCCATCTGTGTCCAGGCTCTGATCTGGACTCTCTTACTTCTTTCTCATCAGTTGGAGAAAAAGGCCAACCTGACTAAAGCTGTGCAGCTTCTCAGGCTGCCCAAGGGCAAGACCCGGGTGAAGCCAGGTACCCTGTGTCAGGTGGCTGGATGGGGACGTTTGGCCCCAAACGGGAGATTTCCAAACACACTGCAGGAGGTGGAGCTGACAGTGCAGAAGGATAAGGAGTGTGAGACCCGCTTTCAAAAGCATTATGACAGTGCTACTGAGATGTGTGTTGGGGACCCAAAGATTAAAAAAGCATCTTATCAGGTAAGATTGGGCATTTGTACTCTTGGCTTTTGGGGAAAGATGTTGGGGACAGATCGAGGACCAGGAGACCAAAGCTTCAGGAGCTCCTTCACCTAGTAGGCTGTGATAATTTTCCCTGAAAAGAGAAGAAGGGAGCTGCATGACCTGGGAGGTAATTAAGGCTTCTACCACTTTATCAAGGAGCCTCTGGGGAACAGTGCCCCTCTGGAAGCATGACTTTGTGACACGATGTCTGAGCTCACATCACAAGTGATAGAAAGCTGTTCCCTGGGTGTCCAGTAATTATAACCACTTGACTCCTCCAGCCCAGTGACCCTCTTGGTCAATGGGCTCAACTACCCTGCTCTGTGTCTGGCCCACTCATCTGCCTCCCTGTCCTTAAACAGCAGCCTGAAACCAGTGTTCCCACAGAGCTCCACAGGGATAAGGTTTCAGGACCTGGGGGCAAAGACAAAGCTTGTCCCAAGAGTGAGATAGTGCAGTAACAGTCTCCACAGTCAGAGAACGGCAGCTCAGGAACCCAGGGCCTGTAACTCCCTCTCATCTCTCACAAGCAGACTGTGCCAGTAGAACTTCAAGAGGGGTTTAGGATATCAGAGGGGAAGGTGCAAGAAGTGCCCTGTCTCACAGCCTCACTTTCTATTTACAGGGCGACTCTGGAGGCCCGCTCGTGTGTAATAATGTGGCCCAGGGCATTGTCTCCTATGGACCAAAAAATGGGACACCTCCACGTGTCTATACCAAAGTCTCACGTTTTCTAAGCTGGATAAAGAAAACCATGAAACACCACTGACTGCAGGGAGCAGAGTAAGCCCCTCTCTGAGCAACTTTCTTTCATGGAGCTCAGACCAGAACTGCACTAGAGCAGATGCCAGTAACTAAATAAACGTCTCATCTCAGTAAGAAGGCTGCTTTCTTGCTTTTTCACTTCACGGAGACCAACTCTGTATTAAGCAGGCCAGTGACACAATTCTGCAATTTCTGCCTCCTCCCTTCCTGCTCCACCCAATACCTTTCCAAATCCCCACTCAGAGCTGTTAATCAGCTCCTTCTGATCCGCTTTAATTTCTCCACAGCATAGGCATTGTGACCGCTGAAGCTAAGCACTTTCGGGAGAAAACGTGCAGAGCTCTCATCCTGGGGCTCAGAGTGAACATGTTGCCCTCTTATGTGTCACCTGGCAGAGGGGAATGAGGGAATTTCATGGGTCCTTGAGACCTATCAGGCACCACTTAGGTCACCACTCAGCCCCATCATGCAGGGTAGGAGAAGAGTCTTTTCTCTCCCACAGGTTTAGGGATAAAGGTGGGGTTGGGGAGGGTATTCTGCACAATTCTTTACTCTCGTTAAAAATTTGCTTACTTCCCCTTTCTCTGCTAAGACCAAGGCTTACCTGGGCTTATAGCCACCAGGCTGCCCATTCTATTTAATCTCTTCTCAGAGCTGTTACTGTTCACCACCTCCTTCCCTCACTAGGTCACAATGATTTGATGTTGTTCCTTCCTCAAATCTCCCCACTTAGGACATCCAGGATCACATGTGGTCCCATGAAAGGCCCATGGAGGTCAACAGTGTTGCGATCAGAAACTGTGGCCCCACCTCTCACTTGGGCAGAGCCCCCCATCCCTCAGTGTCCTCCTATATGCTCAAGGACCATTGGTCACTGAGCAATCGGAGCCCTTTCAATCTATCCCTGTTGATCACTGCTGGCCTCAAAGCTAAAACTTCCTGGGGACACATGGTTTATCCCAGCCTTTTACCATAAAAGGGTTCCTCTCTGCAGAAAGACAGGAAAACACACCAGTTTCCCTGGTTTGTTTCAGCAAACAAATATGTAGTGTTGTTCAGGACAACTGGGAAGGCTTTCCTTGAAGGAAGACCATTTGTCTCCATGTTGGCTAAATTTTGCCCTAATTCCATATATTGATTTGTACACAGCTGGCTAGGATGATATTCTACTATCTCAATTGCCTTTAAAAAGGTAAATGGGTCTAGGGGAGGTGCTGATGTGCAGCCTTGGAAGCAATGGACAGGTCAGTGATGCCCACCTGTAGCTCCCTACTACTTAGTGTGAGCCAGAGGGAGAGATGCTGAGCTGTACACTGGAACTGAGGCTCAAGAAAGAGTCCCTACCACAGGGCAAGAAGGTCAAATAGAGAAACTGAGGCAACTGACCAAAAACACAAGACACTCCTCAAACTGTGTTATGCAGATTCCTCCAAACTCAGTGGCTACCTGTTACCAGAATCCAGTAGTCTATCTGCAAACCTTTCTCTGCAGGTTGCAGAGGTGTTATTATGCCTCCTCCCTAGCTCAGCACACAGTAATCACATACTTCCTGCCACTCTCTCGGTCACTCGACCCCAGGCAGTCGCCTCTTCGCAAAGTAACAAAACCCGGGTTGAGCCCTGGGTTATGCCTTTGCTCAGGTTTTCCATTATTCTAACTGGAGTTAGGACCCCCTTGGCTCCCTACAATGCAGATATGTGTTTACGTCTTTATTCGTGTGAGGGCTGCACTGGAAGTGGTAGAGTGGAGTTTAATTATTAGAATTCCAATATCTTTACCCAGGGATTACAAATAAAAACTCCTCCAGACTAAGACAAGCCCAGAGCAGGCTCTCTATAAGTGCTTACTAAGAGCCAGGCCTTAGGGATCTATACTGAACATAATAAGAGCCCAGTGAAACAGACAGTGTTAAAACCTTTGGAAATTAACCCCTGTCTATCCTCGAGATTGGTCCTGAAGGCCCATGTGGGAAATCTATGCAAATAAATTACCTTCTTTTTATTCCTGGTTACGGTTTCTATCAATATTACCACATGATAATATTCATGTCATTCAGTTTCCAGGTGTAAAGTTGCTAAATGGTTTGAAAGAGGGCCTTTGCATGGGGGAGAGCGTAGCAGGGAGCTAAGAAGATAATGGGGTAGCCTTATTTTCATTTGTTTGAAAAGTGACAGATGAAATCGCCAGAAACACACACATCTAATCAGCCATTGGAGAACCGTAATGCCTGTCAATGCTACAGTGTCGGCCTCTGCAGAATCGCACTCCAGTCAGGGAGGCTGCACAGTGGCAAAATGGAGAAACGCCTGCAATATTCAGGTCATGATGTTGACAGTTACACCCATGGTTTCTAATATTACTCAGGGCTGAATCTGGGTTTCATTAATATGTGAAGAGGGGAACAGCTCAGTTTCTAATATTAGCTTAGAGGACACAAACTGTGCGGCTTTTGTTAAATCAATGTCTCCTTCATGTTGGGCTAACTGTGTTGAACACTCATAGCAGCTCTCACGGTGGGGTCATGTCACAAATACCGGACGCTGCCTGGCAGAATTTGGCTCTAAGTTAGTGCTTCTCTGTCCCAAATATACGCAGGACTACATTCTTCTGTGACATGGAGGAAAATCTCCCTCCAAGATCCTGGATTGCCCAAGGCGGGCACTTGCCCATCTTGTACACAAATCATGGTGACCACCCTCAAGCAGTTTTGTCTCCACCTCCAGGGTCCTAGGCTTCTCTGGTCTGTTGGTCTTAATTCCTGACAAATGAATTAAGGAGGTCACTTCAATTTAAGGAGGTCACTTCAATAGGTAGATGACTGATCCTGATGTCCAAGGGAAGATAAGAGTCACTAAATTGCCTCTTAGTAACAATTAATGAAAGTCAGTGGAAGATGTATCAGAATGGTACCCTGACCTCACCAGGCTACTGGGCTAGGACAATGAGTTGAGATCTACCTATTTGTGATTTTAACTAGCTACAAGGGGAGGTACAGCAAGTTTGCATTTTGACATACACTACTCTCCTTAACATAATATTTAAGGTTTTTCAGCCTCTTTCTTATCTTCAGGTGTACTCAGTAATAGACAGCTCCCATACTGGACTTTTGTATAACATAACATATCTAAAGCAGCTGGTATAGTCTCTGAAGCAGAAGATGTTAATAAGTTAGTTCCCACTGCTTTCTCCCTGTGCTCTTTTTCCTATACCAGGATTTATGTAACTAGTAGTTTTTACACAAAAGTTAATTATTCTGTCAAATCATACATGTAAATTATTTTAAAAGTTCTTTTATTGAATATATTTATGGTGAACTAAGACATGTTATGATTAAATGGCATTTAAATATGTACATATATATATGTATACACACAGACACACAAAACTTGGAATGATTGAGTAAAGCTAATTAACATATCCAACAGCTTAGTTAACATTTCTCCAGTTAGAACATTTGAAATTTGCTCTTAGCAGTTCTGAAATATACATTATGAAATGTGGTCAAGCTGTACAATAGATCTCAAAACATTTCCTTCTCCTGAGTAGCAAAAATTTTGAACTCTTTGACCATCTCCTAATTCTCTCTGATAGCCACTGTTATACTTGACATCTGTAACTACAATTGTTTTCAATTCCCCACCTAAGTAACAGCACATATTTGTCCTTCTGTGCCTGGCTTATTTTGCTCAGCACAATGTACTCCAGGTTCATCCATGCTGTTGCAAATGACACGATCTCATCGCTTATTTGGAGGTTTCAGCTGAAATACATAAATAAATATATATACGAAATATATTTACACATACATATCACATTTTTTTATTCATTCATCCATTGATTGACACAATTCATACTTGACTATTGTGAATAATGCAGCAATAAACATGGGAGTGCAGGTAACTCCTCTATGAACGGATCTCTAGTCTTTGGATATATACGCAGACCAGGGATTACTGGATGTAGCCTAAGTGCCTCTTACACCCCTGTTTTAGGTGCAGAACACATAGCAGGCCTTAGTCTCCTAGCAGCACATCCTGTTACAGCCAGCCACCAATGGCCTCAGGCAGAAACTTCAGTCTTGGTCTTTGGTCTGGGTTAGTCTTCCTCCTTGCACTGTCTCAATCCCCAGGATTCCATGAGGATCATACTAGACTGTTATTTTGCACTATTCTCCCCAGGTCAGTTTTGGATACTGATTTATTATCTACCCTATCCACAAGGAGATGAGGAAGGCAGGATGTCCACAGAACACTAGGCCAGAGCTTTCCCCTAGGCGGGACCATGTCAATTCCCATAAACATAAGTCTTGCTCCTAACATCAGAGCCCACCCACTGAGAAGTCACTCAGCAACCTGATTCTCCTCAGCCTGGTCTTTTTGGTCACTGCTAACAGCAGGGTCTCTGAGTTGGACCTGCATGATTGATTATGCAACCTATAATAAGCAGTTAAGTGAGAGCAGCCACATTTATAAGACTAGAAAACACCATTCTGCCATCAACCAATACATCAATTCTTTTGGGCAAATACTGTGTGCTAAGAAGTAGGCACACAGAAAAGCAGCCTGTTGTGGAATTTCTGTGGTTTCTCTGATTTTCATATCACCCTTTGCCTGAGTGAGTGTCTTGGCTTACATTCGGGTTTGAAATCCACAAGAATCAAAGTACTCTTGCTGTGAAGACAGTACTGACTTGGTGTGTACTTGCCACAAGTACATGTTACGCGCTACAGTTCCCAAGTGCATTACTGGAGCCGACTTGACAACAGTAGAATGAGCAGGTCAGAGCTCAGGAATGCTCCTTCCTTGAAGGCAGGTGGAAGATGAGGAGGGGGACAGACAGCAGGGAGGCCTGTCTGGATTTGACTTGTATGCCTTGGCGCACAAACTCAAATATGAAAAGGTAGAACATTTTCTTGGTTCCAATTCTAATGCAGGGCTGGTCTGAAATTTAATCCATGTTATTACTGAAGCCTGGACACATCCAACATTGAACAAAATTAGAGTACTTTACACAGCACCTAGAACATCCTCTAATTATCTAGGTATCGTGCCCAGCATGGTTAGATCATAGTGAGCTGTTCCGGCCTCCCCATGTAGCAGCAGGGTCACAGCTCCTCAGAGGTCTCAGCCAATCTGCACTCTGCTGCACAGGGAAGTGTGACTTTCAGTCATGAGTCAGTATGCCCCTCTTCCTGATCATCACACTGTTTAAACTTGGGCAAATAATCTATCTCTGCAATCATGGTCCTCAGAGAACAGTCCCTTTACCCCTTGGCCTGAAAGGATGTCTAAGGCATAATCTCCTGAGTATTTAAACAGTAAAGGAAGATAATCTCTCAGCACAGTTCTGGTCCTGACCCTAAAAACAAACTGAGGAGGCAGATTCATAGGAAAAACTCAGTTTTCTGTACAGAACAGAAAGAATAAAAGGACAAGAAAAAAAGCATATGTATACTTCAACAATATACAAAATTCATATATATATTTCTCAGCTTAGGTCCTGAATTTATTTATAGGAAAAGGTTTATGGCCAGAATGAGTGAACACAGTAAGTGTCATGAATTTCTTTTAATGAGTCAAAGCATAAAAGCTAATCTACTCTATCATCACACAGCCAGTTAGCCCCACCAGCCAAGGAGGGGCCCTGACCTCCCAATATCTGAGTCAGCTCTCCTTCAGACAGGGGAAACAGCTTCCCTCAATGCCTGTTCAGGACCAGAGGCCTGCAGACCGCTGCCTCACCCTCAGTGCTAGGTTTCCAACGTTCCAGCCGGAGGTCCTGGATTTATTATCCCTACTCAATAAACTCCTTTAAAGAAACGTCCTCAGGCTGTCAGCTCTCTGCAAAGCATCTGCCTTTGAGTAGAGTATTGGGAAGTTCTCAGCTCCCACTTCCTACAACTGTAGGTAGCTTGGGGAAATTACTCAGTGTGTTCTCTACATGCCAGGATTCTACTCTAACTCTTAGAGAAAATGAATCCCAACCCACATGATCTGGACAACCACACTTTACTGACCTCTTATCTCAACCCTGGCCTTAGTCAGATCTCCTGATTCCGCACAATATGAAGAACTGTAGGGCACAATCTCACTTCAGAGACACACAGTGAGTTTGCTTAGGCACTGTGGCCTATCCAGCACACATAACTGCTTGCACCCAAAAGAAGTAAACTTAGGATGTTTTTTCCAGAAGCCAACACAATAGGTGATTTGGACCAGAAACAAAAGCACCGAGCTTAGATGGCTGCACAACCCCTAATCAGGTGATTGAAGATCATAACCACAAGTAGCATAGCAAATTAGTAACATGCACTTACAGAAGTAGACTGATAAAGAAGAGAAAAAAAAACATGAAATGTAATTTGTTTTTAACTTTTCTTGAGAGTCATGAGCCAAGGGTTTTAGTTTTTGAGAAGGTTCAAATAGAGAAGAGGGCAACCACTCAGGAAAGAGTGATTGGGCAAGGAAGGGCCACACAAGAGAAGGAGAGTTCAGAGTAAAGTGATTAAAGGAAGTTCACCCAATCCAAGACATGAATGACTTGGATAAAAAGGCTCATCAAAGACATTCCTTCTAGCAGAGGCAATTTTCCCTATAACTCATCATTTCAGGCACCTGTGGTTTGAGACGCACCTTAGGATTCCAGGCAATGAAGCATCTCTGGGCTTTTATGACTCAAGAAGTCCCCTGAAGCTATAGGAATTTTCTCCAGCCAAGAGCAGCCTCCACCCTGAAGGGAAGGAAGGAGAGTTAGTGGATCCAGAGACAACACTGAACCGGTAGGGATGGGAATCAGCAGTCGAGTGATCTAGGCTCCTGAGCTGCAAAAAGTTAGTACCAATATTCATTCTATACAGATCCTCCAAAGGCCCAAGCAGGACTAAGCTCCAGCTGCCCACAGTAATAAACAGCCACGTGACATATTCTTCTTTAGTGCCCCTTCTTTTCTCACCTCGCTCTCCTTTCTCTCTTCCTCCAATCTCTTCAAACACACTTGATTACATTAGTTCTAACTAAAATCTTGTCTCAGGGATTCTTTAATGTTAATTTGTTTTAAGAGCGGGGTATATTTATTGGAGGAAAGAAATTTTCTGTCTGAGAGAGAGACAGAAATGTGTCTGAGTGGATTGCCAAGGAACCAGCCTTTTCCAGGGATTTTTATGGAGCAAAACCACAAGATAAGGTGGGTCAAGGTGGGGGAAAATTGGGAAATCACTAGGTGAGCATGAGGTGGGACAAAACTATGGTCAACCAGTAAGATTACAAGTATAATTCTTCAGGTAAAATTGATTAAATCGGGATCAAATGGGGAAGCCAGTCAAGTAGCAAGTGGGAATGAATACAGAACAGGGCTTTTCAGTAGAGGGTGGGGTTAGTGACTGTTCTGCACTTTTTTAAAGTGATTGCTACCCAATTAGAATATCAGGCCCTGGTGTCCACCTTAGGGAGGTATGTGGGTTCACTTATTTAATCTTTTGTCTTGAGCTCTGGCCCACAGTAGAAGTGCTTGTCTCTCTCACAGTTGCAAGGTATGTCGTCTTCCATACTGGCTTTCTTGATGGCCAGGTCCTCTCTCTCGGCCTATGATATTGCTACCTAATTCAACTGCCCACTACATTCCCTCCTCTAGAAGTAACCCAAACTCTCATGAGGGAACTCCTCTGGCTTCTTCAGGCTGAAAGGGGTCCTACTTGTTGATTTTCAGTGACAGATATTCTCCAGAGTTTTTTCTAAAGGCCCTCCATAGACACCAGGTATTTTTATCTTGGGTAGGCAGGTAGCTTAAGTCTCCCTCCAATGATCTCAGTAGAAGACCTCCAAATGATACAGGGGGAAGAAATTCCCAACCTGAAGCATTTCTAGGATGAGATTTTTGTCCTCTAAAATCAAAAAATGAATTTTAGGAACAAGGGAGGTAAAGAACAGTATATATTTATGGGGAAAGAAATCTTTTGTCTGAGAGAGGGCCAGAAGGGAGCCTGAGAAGGTTCTCTAGGATTCTTTCTTGACAGGCAAACTCAAATTAAAATATACATGAATGCACTGAATGTATCCTTCCAATATTTAGGTCCAGTCAAAACTGTGAGTGTGACTATTTGGGAACAGGGTCTTTCTACATACATTCTCATTAGATGAGGTCATACAAATCCAATGACTGCTATACCCTGGAGAAAAGAGAAATTGGGACATAAAAACACAAAGAGATCACCATGATACAACAGATACAGAAATTGGAACAATGTGTTCACTGGTCAAGGAGGGAGAAGCATTGCTAATGTACTGGCTTTAGATCAAGAATGTCTGCCCAAAGCTTTTGAGTTCCGAGGTGGGGCTTTGGGAAGGTCATTTTTTCACGTTACATCAAGAAGTGCTAAGAAACCAAAGCATAAGTGAATTGGACACTAACAGCAGTGCACTAAACAATGATTGATTTTGATCCAGTGAATTTTCATTCCCATACATTCCTCCAAACAGAGAGACTAGGGAGCTGGGGATTTAGCTCAGCAGCAAAAGCGCCTGCCTGGCAAGCGCAAGGTCGTGAGTTCAGTTCCCGGTACCGGAGAAAAACCAAAAAAAAACAAACAGAGAGACTCCAGAATATAAACTTTTATGGAGGGTATTCTATTCATTTTTAAACCACAAGGCCATAATGGTGGCAAAATAAGAAACTGTGTTACTATTCCACAGAAGAAAAAAATGTCCACCTTTACAAGTCCTGAGAGCAAGTCCAGCCTTCATCTCGTATTACCAAGCCAGCCTCACCACCACATTTACCATCTTGTGCCCTAAACACAGATTATCAGTCCACTCCAGCCAGTTATCAGCTTTTCAAGGGCAGGATGCCTGTGCCTTTCATCCTTGCATCTAATCTGCTAAGGAATTGTTCCCAACCTTATCAGAAAGAAAACAGAACCAAGAGCTGTGAAAAGAAACCACTCTTGGCTCCCCTCAGACACTGGGCATTTCCTGAGGTCTCCGCGTTCTACTAGCTGCAGCCACAGCCTCAACACCCTCCACCTCTTGAGCTTTACTCTTGCTGTGCCTGAGACCAAATCGCAGAGCTGTTAGTGGTGACAGTGTTGTTTCCACATAAACCAATCCAGACAGTGTTCATAAGCATCTGCAGGATGATGACACACCTCAAAACCAGAGAAGCACAAGTCTAAGACATCAGTCAGGTCACAGTGTGTGCGCCCCATTCATCCGGCTGCAGGGTTCTGTCTGCTCTGACTTGGGCCACCTACCTGGGAAAATGGCACCACTCCTAATCCTGCTGATGTTTCTTCTGTCCCCTCACGCTAGGACAGGTGAGTAACCATCCTTTTTCCTGAGGTCTCAGCACATCCTACAAAATCCTCCCTACCACTGACTCTTCTGCCAGCTTTGGTCAGGGTTTTTCCTCAGACTGAGCCAGGAGTTTTCTGACTTCCATCTCCCAGCTCAAACCCAGACTTGCAAATCCAAAGCTGGCTAGCCACTCTCAAGGAGAGCAGAGGAGGATACTCCCAGATGATTTCGTAGGTGTTAGACTCTCCACAGAATTTTCTGCATTACCCAGAAATTGAGTGGTCCTTAGAAGAACATTAAAAAGCAAAAAGCAAAGAAAAACAAAAAGGCAGAGAATTTGAAGATACAAAACGTAAGTAATTAAAGTCTGTCATTCAAAACCAAAAAAGGCAGCTCAGACCAGCAGGCTGCATGTGAGAGGAGGTGACTGCACCCAATTGCATTATTCAGTGCCCTCCACACCTCACCCCAGGCCTGAAGAAAGCCTCAGGGTGCAGCTGCTTTCAGAGGTGACAAAATGACTGCATCCACTTTCTATTGCCTTTGGCTCCACTTTAGATCTTTGCAATTTCATTGAAAGGGTCTTCTCTGCCTCTCCTTTGCCAGCTCCCAAAAGCTTCCAGTCTTGAGATACGTGTTTCAGGCAGCCAAAACAATGACTGAGAACATAGAATGAGTTAGACCTAGAACATTAGGATTTTAAAAAATGTAACTTCCTGAACTCATAGGTAGATTGTTACAAAGGGCCACCAATCAGGAAAGAAGCTGAAAAAGATGGGAAAGATTCAGTAAGAAAGGAGGAAAGAAGGCAGCTGCCCAGTAACTTCTGGAACTCTACCATCACGCAGCAGACCTTCTCTCCTCCACACATGTGTCTAAAGTAGGAGGCAGAACACAGGCACTGTCCTTCCTTTCTCAGACCAGGGACATAGGACTTGAGCTTGAGAAGAAGTCTTTCTGCCTGCAAGGAGTGCAGTCTGCAGAACCTAACAGGTCTCTCCTCTGCTGTCTGCAGAGCACTCCAGACCCCATCCTCACCCCTACTTTCCCTCCTGACCAGGCTGCTCCCAGGCACCCCATCTTCCAGCTTTTCTTTCAGAGGAGATCATCGGGGGTCAGGAGGCCAAGCCCCACTCCCGTCCCTACATGGCCTTCATCCAGTTTTGGGATGGCAATCAGCGGAAGAGATGTGGTGGTGTCTTGGTGCGAAAGACATTTGTGCTGACAGCTGCTCACTGCAAGGGAAGGTAAGGGCAGCAGCCAGCCCACACTTCCTGGAACCACAACAGGGACCTCTGTCCTCCACAGGGATGAAGCCTGTAGAGCCCCTGGGGTGCAGGAACACAAGCCCACAAGAGCTCAGCAGAAAGTGGGAAGGCAGGAGAATCAAAAGTTTCAGACCAATATTTGAATATGTAATAATTGCACTTATAGACTCTTATTAGATTAATAAATAAAATTGATGATAAAAATAAAAGGGAGATGGAGGAAGGGGGAAAAAGAACAAAATTTAAATGTGTTCTGTGTGTGTACTAATCTCATACAGTGAATATAATCATCATATACTGCAAGCATGTAGTAATAAAAGTCCAGAAAAAATTAAAACACAGTCAGGTTAAGTTACCTGCTTAGTAAGACTCTCTCTCAAATATAAAAATAAAAGAAAATGGCTGGGAGTATAGCTGAGTGCCAGAGCCCTAGGTTCAACCCCGATTACCATAAGAAATGAAAGAAGACTTGCAGAAAGAAAAGCTGAGAGGTGCAAGAGGTAAATTTTGGTGTGAGAAGGTGAGAGTACAGAAAAGTGACACAAATGAGAAGACATAGGAATCACACTGCCAAGTAAAGCAGCAGCAGCCTGCTCCACACAGCTCCTGGCATGTGTCCTTTGTGGCTCCATGACCCTCAACCACCTCTCCTCTCTGTGCAGCTCAATAAATGTCACCCTGGGGGCCCACAACATCCAGGAACAGGAGAAGACACAGCAGGTCATCCATGTGAGAAGATCCATCCCACACCCAGACTATATTCCTCATAACTTCTCCAATGACATCATGCTGCTGCAGGTGAGGCATATACTCCTGCTGCCCCTGCTTTCCTAGGGCAGGTCACGCCTCCCGCTGGGACCCTGCTCTTTCCCCTCTGCCATCTTGGCCATCACCATGTCCCATCCCAGAAAGCATAGCGTCAGTGTCATAGGCTGATCTGCACTCTCTTGCTTATTCCCCATCAGCTGAAGAGAAAGGCCAAGCTGACTAAGGATGTGCAGCCCCTCAGACTGCATGAGGACATGACCCAGGTGAACCCAGGTGACACGTGCCTTGTAGCAGGCTGGGGAAAAATGGCCCCATCAGGCCCTTCAGCGACTAAACTGCAGGAGGTGCAGCTGACAGTGCAAGATGAACAAAAATGCAAAGCAGCCCTCCATGTCTATTCTGAAGTCACTGAGATTTGTGTGGGAGACCCAAGGAAAAAAAAGACCAGTTTCAAGGTGAGGAGTCCACACTCTATATAGACAGAACTCAAGGAGTGGAATTTCGGTGGGGATGATAGTGTCCATTTCCTCATGCCCTAAGTCCGGAGCTTGACGCCCTGAATTCTCCAACAATGCAGACTTTAATCCACTCCCTGTGTGGATAGGAGCAGATGGTGGGGAAATATCAGTTAGCCGAATATGGTATTATCACTGCAGTATCTCTAAGGGTGAATCAGAAAGTTTGATGTAAGTTAAACTGGAAAGTAAACTTGGGGCCAGGCTACAGTATCCTGGTCAAAAGCAGGCAGCCAGGCCCACCCTTCCCTGATCTCTACTCACAGCCCCCTGACAGAGGTCACCCACTGAGGGGAGGCTCAAGGAGCTCCACCAGGAGAAAACTAACTCAGTTCGTTCCTTCTCTGTCTGCAGGGGGACTCTGGGGGTCCCCTCGTGTGTAACAAAATGATCCAAGGCATTTTCTCCTATGGAAGAAATAGTGGAAGACCCCCAGTAGTCTTCATGAAGGTCTCCCACTTCCTGCCCTGGATAAAGAGCACCATGGGGCACCTCTAACAGCTGGTGTAAGATTGGCTTCCTGATCATCTTTTCTAAAGCAGAAGAAAGATTTCCAAGAGCACGGGCCTTAAGAACTGCACAGTGATAATAAATGGATCTCAAGAGTGAAGGTGGCTGAGGTCCTCTTTATTCATTGAATCCTTTCAGTTTGCAGCTGCCCTGCTCCAGCAGCCCTCTGCTGGCCACTCTGCTTGTTGCTTCCTCTTTTATGCCTGCCCTCCCTATTTCCTTCTTCCATTCCATATAATTCCTCATCCATGTTTAAGCACACTTTGCTTTAATGCTCAGCTCTGCAGTGTGGACTTCCTCCCTGTGTAGTGGGTTTCTGCAGTATTAGCAGCTGTCCTCATGCACACCTTCTCACATTCCCTGTGCTCAACCCGCCTCAACTATAACTCTCAGGGAAATAGGAATTTCCCACCATCTCCAAGCCAACAACCTTCTTCAAAGCCTCAACAATTTGGCAGAAAATAGAGTAGTGAAAAGGAATAACTTCAGGGACCCAGAGGGCCAAGGACACTCAGTTGCTCTCTCTCCAGTGGGGCAGGTTTCTCCCCTTTTCAGTGCTCTCAGTTGCTTAGGAGGCTGAGGCGGCCTCTGCTCTACCCGATCCCATTTGCTGCCCTGTCCTGGGCCAGCACTAAGTTCAGTCCACCTCCTCCCTCACTGCCTGGCCTTGCCACACCAGCCCCTGTCTCCCTCAGAGTGCCTCTGGCCACCAGCCCCTTTCCTTTCTAGTTCCTCTGATTTAAGCCACCTCTTTTCAGCTCCCTACAGAGTTCCTACTCTGTGTGGATTCACCTCTCACTTGTAACAGCTGGGCTTTGAACTCTCTTCCCTTCTACTTGGGCAGGGCAGGCTGAGCCTGTTCCAGACCAGCATCTCCCAAGGGCTCAGGCCCCAGCTCCTGTGGAGACACTACAGCCGCAGCTGCTTCAGCCTGACCTGGCTTTGGAGTTCAAGATCTCCCTGCTGGCAGATGGCATTTATAGCAACCCGTGAGCCAGAGAGTCCAGGGCTGCTGGGCAGGAAAGATCACTTAGCTGTCTGTCAAGAAACACGCTTCCAGACTATGTCTTTGTAGTGAACACATAGTAGGCTCTGCTCTCACCCTTGAAGAACTCTCAAGAATGAGAAATTTCCTCTAAATAGCTCTGCTTTTTCTCCTTCCAAGGCAGGCCAGTTTAACCCAGATAGTTTTGTATTTGGAATCCACTAGAAATCTTATTTGAAAAAAGTTAAACTCTCTATATTCTTTCTTGGTTGTGCATGACAGTGCCACATGCTTGATATTGTGGGCTCCAAAAGAGCAGTGTGTGATACTGGAGGAGACATGGATGTTCTCATCTCCTGAGATAGCGCATGTATGCCCACTGGAGTCTGGGTCCAGAGGTGTGGAAGGGAACAGGAGGCAGCCCAGCCAGGCTGAATTTCAGCTACAACACCCCAAAATGCCACAGTTCAGATGTGAAACAGTTAAGATATAATGACGTCATTTAGGATCCCATAGCTTTCAAACAGTGCCACTGAGGAGTTGTTTGTGGCACAGCAAGACACACACAATTGCTGTGCTGAATCAAGTGAGACCAGCATCAAAAAATTCCTGAATGGGACTCTAACAGCTCAGGGAATGATAGCAACAGTTGGCAAAGAAAATTGCATTGACTTAAAAAGCTTCTGCACAGCAAAGGAAAAAACAGAATTAGGAGTAACAGCCGATGAAATCCTGGGAGAAAACCTCGGCCAGCTACTCTTCTGATGGAGGGTTAATATTCAAATACATAAAGACTACAAAACCTTAATACCAAGAAACAATACAAGTCTGGCATGCTGAAGCAGACCTGTAATACCAGGACTCAGGAGGCTGAGGCAGGAGGAGCACTGTGACTATGAGGCTATTTTGGGCTAAACAGTGAGTTCAAAGACAGCGTGAATGGGATAGCAAAACCAAGCCTCAAACAAAAAACCGATGGATTAGTGGGCAAGTGAACTGAACAGATACTTCTCCAAAAGTACAAATTATTAATAATTACATAAACAAATGCTCAATATCTTTAGCCATGAGGGAACTAAAACTCAAAATTATGTTAAGATTCCATCTAGCCCCAGTCATAATTGTAATGATCAAGAACAGCAAAACAATAAATGATTAAAGCACTTTGTCAGTAGTGCCACTATGGAAATACGTATAGTAGCTCCTCAAAAAACTAAACACCACATTGTAGAATAGAGATACTATTGATTCAGCATACTTGAGAGATAGCTGCACACCTATGTTTATTGCAGTACAATTCACAATAGCTAAGCCATAGAAACAGTCTTGACACTAATCACCTGATTAATGGATAAAGAGAATATGAGATCATTTAGTGAAGCTGGAAATCATCATGTTAAGCAAAATATGTCAGAATCAAAGTGACCAATATAACTGCCTTCTCTCAAATATATTATTTATTTATTATTTAGATATAAAAAGGCATGAAAGTAGCAGAGATAGTATTGAGGAAGAGGAAAGAAAGGCTGAAGGGAAAGTAGAGGAGGAGGGAAAGTGGTCAAAGTATTCGACACGCATATGCTCACTATGCAGTACAATGCATACAATAATAAAGGACAGAGGAATCCCTGTTCACAGTGGTCAGTTGCACGGTGAGATTAAGGCTGACTTGTCTCTTCTTTGATTTTTAATTTATTCTATATTCTTACTTCTCCAATTATTAACTATTTTTTAAAATATTTTGTCAAAAAGATGCATTAATTTGGTACATGTTACAGTCAATCTGCCTACTGTCACAGTAAATTTTTACCGATAAACTGTAACCCAGTAGTCTAGTCATTGTTCACCCATAGTCCAAAAGGAGTGTTCTCCACGAGTACTTGTCCCCTTTTATTCTCAACTGTCTTGGTCTGGACAATAAATTTCACAGTCAACCAGATTAAGGGACCAAGGCTCAATCCCTGAAAAGGTGTCTTCCCAGTTTCTCAAATTTATCTGCTATTGTTTATCTACAAAGCTGTTGGGTAAGGCAGGTCTGGATGGCCAGGCACACGAGAGTGTGCTGGCTCAGGCCTAGAAGGTGCCCACATCATTTCTAACTACGTACATTTGCAAAAACACTCCAGAGCCCACTGACCTCAGAGGAGGCTGGGCAGGGGAGACCTGTAGTTTACCCTTGTCCCTTGGAAGGAAGGGGAATGGTTTTTGCTAAACTGCTAGCTTTGCTTTATGGCAGTGATCCACAGTATTTAACTTTTATAAAGATGCTTGGACATACATTCTTTTTCCTCTTATAAAAGGAATAAACTTCCATTATAGCAAATATTATATAATGAAAATGTGATAATCAAACTCATAAAATTGTCCTTTTAGATTTTGCCCTCCCCCCCACACACAAAATAACTATCACATTGTATACTGAGTTTTACAGTATATGATTTCCATGTAACATGAAAGGATACAAATTTCTCTATGCCACTAAGTAGTTTCCTAAAACAACAATTTTATTGGTCAGAGAGAAATTATCCCATGATTGTATCATCATCTATATTTGTCCTCTCGTGCTGTTGAATATTTGGATTGTCTAAGCATTTGGGCAAGACGGTCTCAAGGTATATGTCCACCTCATCCTCTTTGTTCATGACACAGGAGGCCCTACCTGGGGCACACATGATGGACAGGCAGGAGTAGTGGTGTAGACAACTCCCAAGAAACAGTGAGAATACGAGCCAACACTTGGTGAGTTAAGTAAACCAGAGTTGTGTGTTTTGGGACAATGACATATGCAATAGAAGTGAGAAGGAGGGCTACCCTTTTTTAAAATCACTCCAGGGGAATTCGAGCAACAAAAAATTAGCCCACCTGCACATCCAGAGGCCAAGATCAGCCCCATACCCAGCACAGAACCACCTGCAAACTTGGCTTGAGTTCTCATTTCTGAAATCTGACTTAGACCCACTGCAGAAAAGTACACACCAGTAAAATTTTACTACTTTCATTTTTCTCTGATTCTCTGGATTTCCTTATTCTGTCAGGTTGGGATTTCTTTTCATTGCTATGTTTTGTCTTGTTCAGCTTTTCTTTTTATTCATTGTTACTTTTCCTTTTTTCTCCTTTTTCTTTTCTTTTCATTACTTAGATCTCTTCCCTGGTTTTCATTTTCTTCTCCTCATCCTCTTCCTCTCTTTCATCAACTATCTCACAATTTTATGAGACTTTCCTGTCAGGAAACATTGTCTCTTCTTGTTTGGGTCACTGCAATAGTCGTTCACTTTCTCTTCCATTCTTGCCCACCTGAGTACTACAGTTTTCCAACAGCTGGGTGATCATCCTCTGCCCTCCATCCTTGCTCCACTTATGTTTGACCTCATTCATCTCTCTGTCCTGCCCCTACTGCTCTGAAATCCCTGCCACCCCAGGGTAAAATCACTCTACTAAGTGGAAAATCATGGCACAGAAGTTCCTGGTATAAGCTGGATTTTGTTATCTAACTATAGAACTTGCTACTGAGGTAAACATTATCAGCCTAATAGTCTCTACAGTTTGTTAGTAACCAAGCTGTGCTTGAGAATATTGTTTTTATCAACTGTACTACTTTAACCAGCATGTCATACCTGTTAGAATTAGTTTTTCTGCCCTGTATGCCAATACTGTGATTGTTTTTTGGTTTTTTTGTTTTTTTTGTTTTTTTTTTTTTTTTGGTTTTTCTCCGGTACTGGGAACCAAACTCAGGACCTTGCGCTTGCCAGGCAGGTGCTTTGCCACTGAGCTAAATCCCCAGCCCCAATACTGTGATTGTTAAGAATCATAAAGATCACTATACTCTAGCCGGAAAGGACTGGGTCCTGAAACAAATATGTAAATACATAAATACATAGCAAGTGCTCATTCTGAAGTTTAAGATGTATCTTTTTTTTTTTTTTTTTTTTTTTTCCAGTTCCAGGAATCAAACTCACAACATTGCACTTGCCAGACAGGCACTGTGCCGCTGAGCTAAATCCCCAGCCCCTGATATGAAGC